CAAAGTTGCCTGCCTGAAGAAGACTCTGCTGCAAACAAAACAGCAAGAAATGAGGATGAAATCATTACCACCAAGGAAAGTTGGTTTTCTCTTTTAAAAGGCTACGTATGGGGATCAATGTTGTTACTATTATTTTATTTGCCTTTATTCGTCATTCCTTGGGTGATTATATATTATTATGAGTTTTTATTTTTTCTTTCTATTTTTCTTTTTGTCGTCTTATATATAGCAATGGCCATTGATTCTGAAGGAATTACAACAGAAAATGTGTTTACTTACCTTGAAAATTATATATGGGGACCATTGATGTTGAAATTATTTTATTTGTGTATATTTGGAGCTTTCTTGCTCTTTATATACTACGGTGGTTTTACCTTTTTGGCTTATCTTTTTGTTTTCTTTTTTTAATTTCATCTTTATTGATTGAGAAAGATTACAAGGTAAGGAGTAAAATGGAGTGTGAGAAAAGAAGTAAAATTGTATAAATAATTATAGAATATGGCTATCTTAGGAGAGTGGATTGTGGGAAAGGTTCAAACAAGTTTGATCTTCAGAAATGAAATCAGATTTTTAGGATTAACATAGTCTACCTAAATCTGCTACTACTTAATGAATTGTTCAGTCTTGTGATTGAGAGAGGCTGTTATTGTCATGTTGGTGTTCAGTTTGTTAACACACATGCGAGAACACAAGCAGAAGGGACGTGGATGAAATATAATAAGTGTTTATTGCAATCAGGAAAAGGGATGGGGAATGAGGACTGGAACTGGTGGCCGGTTCGTCTCACTGTTAACGAGAGGAGCAGATTAGCAGGAGGGTCTGGGATGAGTCTTTTCAGAATGAATCGGATTGATCTTACTTGGTGGGTGGAGATGGTGGTCGGTATGAGCCGAGATGGAGGACCGGTCGGAGGGCGGACAGGGTGATTGGTGTCCGGGACGGAGTCCTGGCTGAAGCCGGGGCGAAGGGATCCCAGATGGAATTGGGTTCGAGCTGGAGGTCCGGACGCGTGTCGCTGGGAGTCCGAGGCTACCGCAGAGAAACGCTTGCTCTGCTCTCTGGGCAGGCTGTTCTCACAGGAGCCACGAGGAGATGTCAGGTTCAGGAGCCACAAGGAGACGACAAGTTCACCTGGCGTAGGAAACTCAGGGATTAGCGAAGAGCAATTCGCAGAGGCCTATACGAGGAACGACAGTTACCGTGGTAAACAAACACTCAGGCGAGGAAGAGTCGTGCCGCTGTTCCTATAGGCCTATACTCCTCGACCGCGCCTCCCAGATTAACCGCAGATGCGTCTCCGGGGTTGACGGGGCCAAACTCCAGGGGCAGCCTCTTGGCGGCATCTGGTGGATGCCACAAGGAACGGCAGGAGATCCAGGAAGGGGAAACAGAAACCACAACAAAACAAAAGGGAAAATAACAAAAGAAACGGATCCTGACAGTTATTTTTTCAATTACATACATGTTCAACGTTATGTCGATGCAGTCATCTAAGGTTGGTTCGTCCTGTGATAACCATTTTCTTGTAATGTTTTTCTTACTTGCTGCTAATAAAATAGTCATCAGATTTTTGTTACTTTTTGAAGCTTCTTGGGAAATTATCCCAAAATACATGAGCTTGAACTCCAAAGAAATGTTCTGCTTAAAAATATATTTTAAGGCACTATTTATCTCTTTCCAATAGTCTTTTTTAATTGGGAAGTCCCAGAAGACGTGATAATGGTTTGCTTCCTGATTTCTACATTTTCTCCAACATGTAGAAGGATTTCCATCATAGTGGCATTTCTGGGCAAGTGTGATAAAGAATCTTACCAGATTTTTCCATCGAAATTCTTGCCATTGTAGAGATTTATTATATCTCCATTGGTATCTCCACATTATTGTCCATTCCTAAATCTGCTGGCATTTACCCTGTCCAGAACTGAAGTAAACTCTGTTTAAGCTGGAGTCGAGAAAGACTAGCCTCGTTTCTGACAACCTCCATCCAGATTTACCATTAAATAAGTCAATGAATTGCAAATGAAAAGAAGCTCAATCATTTCCATGATTAATCTTTTTTTTCCTTTTCTCTCTCTCTTTCTATCAAAACTGGATGACAAAAGTCTTCAGGTTTTGTCTCAACAAAGCCTTTTCTTGAAGGTTAATTGTCTTTACAGAGACTTCATAAAACCGTTTGTTTAATGTTTCTGTTGTGTTGGATATTTGAAATGTCTTCCAGTTCCACTGTTAAATGTTCATTAGACTTTAAATTTCAATTGACATTTCAGAATGTGTCTTTGCATTGCTGTCTCAAAACAACAATATTATTGTTATTATTTATCACAAAAACTTCTGGGATAGTTTGTCATCCAACAAAATGTGTTACCATTTCTTGATTTTAGCAATCATTGCAGTCGTGTGCTGTAAAATCCCTGCATGGCTTAAACAAATTGTTCAAACTCCAAATTTGTTCAAACTTCAGACTGGCTGTAATCTCTGTTTATGCAGACTTCCATGTGTCTGATTTCTGATCAACAAGGTTTTCATAACTTGCTGTTATGAAAACTGTGTAGTGTGAAGCCAAGCAGGAGAGGACAGCTGGTCCAAATGCAATGGCAGCATCATCAACAGATGGCTGCCTGGTCCGGTTTATATTCCACAGCGATCCTCTGCAGACCCGCTGGACAAAATAAAATCCTTCATAACTGCTTCCTTTTCACTGTAGTGGCTCTTCCCCGTGTCTCTGTATTTGTCTATATTTTCACTCTTAAATATAAATGTTACTGTCAGAGGCATATTTATTTTCCTCACATTTCCCACTGTCTGCTCACTCTGGCGCTTTCTGTCAGTAAACAGGTTTATCAGACACAGAGAAATAAGGGGGAGGAAACAACTTTGCTTGTTTGTGATGCAGGTGATTCATCTGTGGTTTGAAGAGTTTGCTTTGGAGGAGACTCAGCTTTGCACAGGAGATTTGGTCACACTGCGAGACACACTGGGAACCATCGGTAAATATATAGCGCAGGCAGGGAAATTCATTTTTAAATAAGTTGGAGCTTACATTCTTATTGCTAATCCAGTCTATTAAAAGTAAGAATAAAGACCCTACATAGCTAAATATACAGTTTATAAATCGCATATTTAGCTTCAAACTAAATATTAGCTTTCAAACTGAATCTTTATTTTGAGACTAAATATTTAGTTAGCAATCCAAATATTCATCCTCAAATGGCTTGGAGTTTAGAGTTAAATATTTAGCTGTCAAGCTAAATAGATAGCCTCAACTAAATACTTAGCTTCAAACTAATTGTTAGCTTCCTGGCTAACTATTTAGTTTGAAAAATGGCAAAGGAGCTTTTAGCTAAATATTTAGTTTCTAAACTGAATGTTTAGCTCACAAACTAACAATGTAACTTAAAATTTAAAATATTAGCTCTGTTGTTGAGTATTTATTTAAAACAAAAATATTTATAGCAAACTAAATAGCCTCAGCTAAGTTCAAACAAGTAAGTAAACTAAATAGTAAGTTTGAAGCTTGCCATCTAAATGTTTAGTTTGTCACCTAAATATTTAGCTTTCTAATTAAATATTTAGCTTGAAAAGGAGATATTTATAAATTAACGAATAAAATGGTAAAAACATAACTTTGAAAAGCCTGAATAACACAAAATATTGCTGGTAATTTAATTTAAAAACGGCATCACACAGCAATCACATAATACTGAAGGATAATTTCTAATGACTGAAATTATAAGATCAGCAAACATCTCAAATATTCTTAATTATTTCTGTGATAAATAATAGGTTGATCTATATTTGTTATAAATCAATGTAAAAACAATATTGAGAAGTTCCAATAAAAAGACAGACTCTTTCTGCATCTGCTGAATGTGTTGTGTCATTTCTGCAGGTAAATACTGTGGCTACACCAAACCCAAGCCTTTGGTGACTCTTTCAAACCACCTGACTGTGTTCTTCGACACTAATGATAGGAAAACTGACCAAGGATTCAAAGCTCACTACAAAGCTGTGACTCCAGAGTTTGCATCAGGTAAGTCAAGTTTTATGGCCTCTGCATTTATTTGGTGACTAGAAAAAAAGAAAAATCACACGTGAAGATGGCGGAGTGATGTCTGAGTGACCATCATAGAAAAGGGTTGTTTTTGCATTTGCTGAACTGTTATTATTTCAAATTTCTCATTAAATCCACCAGATGTTTATTAAAAAATTTTAAAAAGAGGTCCACAGCATGACACATCCTCCACCATACGTTACAGTGAGATGCTCTTCCATATTTTCACTCTTTGTTTTCATCAGACACATCTGGAGTGTCTGTTGCCAAAAAGCTAAATATTTCTTTCGACTGACAAAAGCATGTGTTTCTAGTTTGTCAGTGGCGTTTATTATGACGGCAGGACGGAAAAGATATTATCTCATTATGCTTCCAAACCAACTAGGTCGCACAAAATTATCATGTAATTGTTATGGCAAGTGCAAATGCAACTCCTTATACACCCAAAGCTTATTTTTTAATAAGCTTTGGGTGTATATATTTTTCTTTCCTAACTTTTGTTTCTAAATAAACATTGTTTCATCTACCCTTGTTTGACGCAGCTTGAAACATTTTGTTGCTATAACTGTAGGTGAGTTGGGATCTTCTTTTCTGATTTATTATAATCAAAAAACATCTGATAACACATTAGATCTCAAGACCTCAATTTGGGCTTGTAGCATGTTTCTAAAACAGCTTTTCACTTAAAGAGACCAAAATGTAAAAGTATGGCTGTCTAACTGTGCTTATACACAGTCAAAGCTAGAGACTGCATAATATAGAAAGTGTGTGCCTGCAGAGAAGACTGTGCTATACATAGCTGGAGCTGGAGAGGAAACAAGCCACTAGATAGGAAGCTGTGCATTACAGTGCTGATCTGTAATTCAGTGAAGATTTTTATTGATTGCTACAATACGGCAGGACTTAAAACCGCTACTAAAAATGCTTGTAACTGCATATTTAATTCAGTTTAAAAAGCAAAAATACCTTAATGCATGTTTATAAACTCAGTGGAAACCACTGTGGGATACTGCAGAAGCTAACATCTACAGTCGTTCTTGTTGCTACTCTTGGGGATCCAGGCAATCAGGAAAACTAATGGCGCTGTTAGCCATTAGCTTGTCAAGTAGCATTGCAGCTAAGTATTTCCATTGCCTAGCCACAATTTCTTTTGAATACTGAATATTAGATATGGTCAGAAATTGGAAGGTTTTCCACAAACATTTTGGAATTACAATCCACAAATAAATAAATAAAAAAATAGGTGGGGGTTCATTGGATAAGTGGTCAAAGTTCCTGTACATTTTGACTCTTTCTGAATTCTGTATTAATGCAGATTAGTCTTTGTCTTTTGCTGGAATATTCCACATAGGGAATTTTAAAGGTGAAGAATCTCAATTTTAATCAATTTTAGTAACTTGAGTTCATGCTCTCTTCTCTTTCCAATTTCGAGGAGTGGCTTACAGAAAAGGGCCTCTGTCATTTCTTAATAAAAAGTTACTTGGCTCACAAAAATACTTTTATACCTTCACCTATAGGAATTGTCCCTCTGCTAATTTAGTAGAGTGCTATCATTTCCTAATATAAAATCTTTTCCCGAACCAATTAATGTATTCTAATGTACATTTTTTTTCCTTGTGGGACTATATTGCTGCAATAAAAGATTAATCTATTTTAAGGTCTTTAGCACACCTTCACCAGAGGCTGTAAAGGTCTGGATGCTGCTGCATGGAGTGAAAACTGGGGTCATTACAGCCAAATGAATAAAAGGGCAGGGAACTGCATTAGGGGTTCGTACCAAAGGTGTCCTTGAGTTGTCAGCGCAGCTCAACCCTCCTTCATTCCTGTTGCCAGAAATAGCCGGAGCCGGCGGTTTCCTCCAAGGTGATCAGGGGAATCTGATGACTCCGGGCTTCCCGGGGCAAAACTATCCGAACGGAGCGTTGTACCAGGTACAAACACTCAGCGCACACTGGACAGACATTCTTTTTCATAAAGCACTCCAGAACGTCATTTGATAATGTACATTTATATTATACATGTAATGTGACACTGAAAAACAACAAATATTTAAAGTTGACCTATTATGTTTTCTAGAACAGGGGAGGATTGGGGTTTACAAAACATGTGCTTTGCATTTTTTTTTTCTGCACAAAATCCTTCTTAGATCGTGAGATTTTAAAACTGTCAGACTGAGCTGCTGTAAGGAGTCTTCTCACTTTAAAACCAAACAAGCTGCTGCTGGTCAAGCCCTCAACTCAATGTTTACATTCACACATTAAAATGGCTACAAACAGATGTGCAATTATACAACTGTAAAGCAGAAGTAGCGCCTCCAGCAGGACCAACAAGAACGCAGCGACTGGTTTCTAGATAGTAAGCCAATAACAAAACACTT